CTCCAACCTAGTAGAGATGGTCTCCAACCTAGTAGCTATGGCCTCCAGCCTAGTTCCAACCTAGTAGCTATGGCCTCCAACCTAGTAGCGATGGCCTCCAACCTAGGACCTAGTAGCGATGGCCTCCACCCATTGTTTTTTGTTACACAATTTGCACGTGTTTGCATTGCTTTGTTTCTTGTGGGGTCTGGATAGGGAAGACAATGCTCACCAAGGTGCCATCCTGATGGCATTGCTGGCACCTGCGCGGCTTGTGTTTTCATTCTGCGGGCAAATGCAGCCACTTCGCAATGGATTGGCTGACCATTACTTGCGTTGTACTGGGTCAAAGCAACTCCCCGCGGCTCAAAGGATTGCTCACAACTAAAGGGTTGAGTAGAGCACGATGTTGATGTTGCATGGTTCTCACGATGTGTGTCTTAGGTTTCATTGGCTGCGCTGTAAGGATCATTACTGGACCGTCCGTGATCAACGGTAAAGCGTAAAGCGTAGCAAGAAGGTGACAACCTAGGAGAAGAGGGCTGTCAGCAACGACCAACCACTGGATTCATATCAATTTCCTGGTCGGAGGCCTTCCCATTAGGTTCCATTTCGTATTCAACTAGTAGCTATTTGCTACTACTAGTAATGGCCTTGCTCCTAGTAGTAGTGCCCTTGTTACTAGTAGAGATGCCCTTTGTTCCTAGTAGCTAATAGCTTCTTCTTCCATAGCGTATTCAGTTGGAAAGCTGCTCAACTCGGATTTGACCTCTCAAAGCAACGTTACCACGCATGGGTTACTGTCCGAGGCAAACATTTTCTGGAGAACGCCTTCGACAACGGGGACGGATCCCCTCTATGCCTGCGGCTCATGTCTTGGGGCCTGAGTTGGTCGAAGGCTGCACACTCAAAATCTAAGAAAGCCCACGGCCATTTAAACCCTGAGTGATTGCAGCGGCGCTGCAGAGGGTAGAAGTTCAGTAGAAGGTTTAGACATTCCAAAAGGTTGAGGTCTAGAAGGTTCAGGCATATTGTTGTGCAAAGGCCTTTGAGGGAAGTTTTTGGGGGTAAGGTTTGTGACATGCGGTTACACATTCTACTTGATTCTTACCCCAATCTGCGGGTTGCGCCAGGCATTGCAGAATCTTCGTCCCTGTTGACAAGTTTCAGTGACCAAGCCGGAAACATCAACGGAGTGCTCTTTCAAGCATCTCTACCAGCATATTTGGTTTTTCTTTACTTCCTGAACTATGAGAAGAACAATACTCCACCGTTGGTTTGCTTCGGCTTCGCCTTTTTGTTGGCTTTCGTGCTGTTGACGATTCCCTCGGGAATCATTTCCAAAAGCAGTTTCAGCGTAATATTGGCTGATTCCGATTGGTTGCATGGAAGTGCTGAATCGCTCTTGACGTGCACCAACATTCTCATCGTGCTTGGCTTCAGAGGAGCGCTCACTGGAAATGAAGAGTTGGCCAGCGGAAATAGTGGAACGGCACGTTCTGTCGCACTGGGTTGGTTTGTGACGGTTGTTTGCACATTAGCTCTTGGAGTGCCACTGGGCTTTCAGGCTCACACGCCATTCTTGGCAGGTCTTGGTGCTTTGGAGGGCTTCTCGGAGCCTGTGAATGCCTTGTCCATTCCAACTTGGATTGTGCATTGGTCAACGGTCTTTGAGTTTCTGATTGCCATGTCGTTGGCATGGAGCTATGCAGATGCAGTTGGAAATCCAAAGTGGAAAGGCCTTACCTGGGGCATGTTCCCTTCGTCTGTTTCCAGTGTTTTTGCTTTGACGTTCCACATTTTCTACAATCAAATTCCTTGGATTCTGACGGGCCAAGCACTTTGCACATTCGTCGGAAACTGCACCCTGGCCTTGGCCACTTATCGCATTGCGACATCCAATGGCTGGACGCTCTCAGAGTTGGACCCCAGACAAGCATTGAAAAGACTGATCGAGAGCAATGCGGAAAATGCGGAAGAAAAGACAGAAAAGAGAAATGAAAGCAAGATCAATGGTTTTGATATCAGCAAGGTTTCCCAAATTGAGCTCATGAATGGACCACTCTTGATCGCGGAGGTGGTTATTCTAACTCTACTTTTCGCATATGGAACCAAGTACGGTGAGCTCATGTTCGGGTCGATTTTCCAATCACCCGACTCTAATGCTGCAGCAGTTGCAGTCGTGCTTCTACCTGTCCTCCTTGTGGCCTACACTATATACAGCCAAAGCCCGGATCTTCGCAACGGGCAACTGCCTGCACTTGCTCCAGTTGCAAATGACAAATGAGAAAGAAGACGTGGAGAAAGACGACGGATTCGAGGGAGAGCTTGCGACTACACGGCGAGTTTGTGCGAAGGAAAAAGTGAATTGACCGAAATGTTAATGAGAAGCTTGCGGTTTCACTGCATGCTTGTGAAACGTTGCTCAAGTGCGAGTTTGGGCCTTGTAACTGTGCGACTAGGATAAAATAACTGTGACAGGCCACGCAACATGAAGCAAGCCGCCAGCGGCTCAAGCTATAGAGAGAGGTGCTTTGTAGATCCTTGGTGTTACTTTGCGGGGTCGTTCCTGGTTCTACGTTTTGAACTGTTGATGTCCCACTGTCGATTTTGAGGTGGTGAGCCATGCTGCCAGGACGAGCAATCAGCTCACAGGAAGCACAGCTTGCAGCACTTGGAGAAAAAAGTTCTACAAAACTGCTTGAGATTGCGAAATCTGCTGCCCAGCTTGCAAACAGTTTTGCAAGCAGTCCTGCAGGAAGAAGTTAGAGAAGACGATTGCCCACAAGAATGATGCAATGTTCTAGCATCAAGTGAAGGTTTGTCGACAGGCATTGCTCACCATACTAACTCTGGGATCAGGTAATTTTGTTGAACAGCTGTGGGCTTCGCAGTTCTCCCTGGATCATAGTTTCGGGTTTTTCCGAATCACAGCGGACCTTGTTGAGACCGCTGGGGCCGAACACAATATCACGAGCGCACAGAGCGAGAGAGAGAGAGAGAGTGAAAATGCTGTAAATTAGGTTCGAGAACCGGCGGGGGTGGGGAGAAGCTACTAGGAACAGGTGCCACGCTAGTAGTAACAAGTGCCCTACTAGTAGTAACAAGAAGGGGAGAAGCTGGGGGATTTGGATGGGTCCCACAGTGTGAGAGACGCGAGGGAAGCCCTTCGGGAACCTGCGCGTTTGGGGTCAGCAAGAGGTCCTCACAGCGGCGTCGAAGGTGAAAGGGCAGCGTAAAAAAGAAGTGATGCAATCAGACAGTACAGACTACGCAAGTCTGCTGAGTTGGCCCAGAGGAAGAACAAAGGTTGTTACCTGTGCCACCTTTGAATACTTGAAGAACCTCGTCCAGTTCAATTGTGTCATCGCACAAGCTGCCAGGTTTCTCACAGCAGGGTTCAGCAAACAGCGTGTAAACTGTGGCTGTGTCATGAGCTCAAGGGAAAGTTTGCTGAAGGAACGGTTTGTTAGGTTGGAGGCCATTGCTATTATACTGAAATCAAAAGGCGCTGAGATGTAAAGAGTGTTGTTTGGTTGATGACTTTTTTGCGAGACTGTCAGGTTGGAAACTTGCGAGGTTAAGTTTCTGGAGACCTTTGTCCCTCAAGTGGTTCAAACCCTGGCCTTTAGATTTGTACAGAGGTTTTTTGATGTTGATCAAGTCTGACAAATGTTCCAGGTCCAGCGAGCACAGAAGCTCAACCCTCAAGAGACTGCGAACGTACGGTGCCCCAGGTATTGACGACGTTCCTTGATTGTGACGCAATGGCCTCCAACCCACTAGCGATGGCCTCCGCCCCACTAGCCATGGCCTCCAACCTGCTAGCGAACTAGTGCATGCTAAAGTTGTCGCAAGTTTTGGGCTGAAGTCCGAACCTTTCCTTTTACATTCCGTTGCTTCACCCAGCCTTGGCAGCAAATGAATCAGTACTTGGTGCAGGGTATGCGGCATTCCGCTGACAACACATACCGGGACGTATTTCTTCACATGAGTTGATACAGCGTGCGCTCCTTTTGGAAAAAGTTGATGTGAGATTTCTTCCAGTGGCAGAGGTGCAGAGTGCGTTTTCTCCAAGTTCCATCTTTCTTTTTAACTGGGCACATGAGTTTCCTCAGGCCCCAAGTACCAGAAGCCAGTTTTCTTCTTTCCCGCTCTTTCAATGGCATTCCGCGCGGCATATTCCTCATCATTTCTGCAAAGGTCTTCCCATGTCACTTCCATTCCCGACTTCATTGGTTTCATGCATGTTGGGGAATGTCAAACATGTGTTTTGTCACTGGTGTTCACAGTCAACTTGTTGCACTGCAGCAAGCCACAAGCAATTGAGAAAAAGAACCAGCATAAAATGCAAGGCTTGTAAGAAGCTAGTAGAAACAAGTGCATCGCTACTAGCAACAAGTGCCTTGCTAGTAGTAATAAGAAGCTACTGCTAAGTCTAATTCTTGTTTCTACTAGTAAGGCACTTGTTACTAGTAGCGATACACTCGTTTCTACCAGCGAACATTGTTTCTAGGGCGAAGAAGTATTCGTTAATCCGATGACTTTTGCTACCAAGGGGCTGTTGCTTCCTTGCTCTTGGAGTCAGTCATAGGAGCTTAGGGTGGAGGCCATCGCTAGCATGGTGGTGGCCATTGCAATTAGGTTCCCATTGCAGCTTGGAGCTTTGTAGGATAGAGGAACCTGTTCTTGCCTTTGTGCCGTTGTCTTTCTCCTTTTGGCCAACCTAAGAGAGATGGGGCAAGTCGCAGCGAACGAATATGTGTGAATGCCTCAAGTTGCTTTGCACTACTTTGCATATTGCCCTCCCTTAGAATCGCATGTGTCCAAAATAATGCAGTTTCAAAATAAACACCGCAGACAATTGGACCCCTACGATAGGGCCCTGTTAAAGGGGGCCTTACTTCAGGCAGACAAAAGTTTACGCTTGTTAGCCTTCTTACAAAACACTCTGAGGTCAGCAGCGGATCGAATTAACAAGTCTAATTTTCGTGGCAGGTGTGGGACGGTCAATTATCACACCGTTTTAAATTTATAGTAATAAAAGGCTTTCCGGGGTGACAAATGACCGCCCACACCTTCCCTTGTCTCATGGTGTAGGATTCTAGGGGGATAGGGTT